GTACTTTCCTTTTGATTTGATGAGGACGATTGTGGTACCGGTAATCAAAAATAGGACAGGAGATGTGGCAGACAAGAGTAACTATAGGCCAATCTCTTTGGCGACAGTCGTAGCCAAGGTGCTTGACGGCGTGCTCAACTCATATTTAAACCCGTATCTACACCTATATGATGCTCAGTTTGGCTTTCAACCAGGACTTTCTACGGAAAGCGCTATAGTGACGTTGAAGCATACTGTCAAGTACTATACCGACAGGAAGACACTCATTTTCGCGTGCTTCCTTGATCTTTCAAAAGCCTTCGATTTGGTCTCATATGACTTCCTATGGGCTAAATTAGGGCGACGGGCATGCCGGTGGAGTTAAGGGGCCTGTTTGAATATTGGTATCACAATCAAACTAACGTAGTGAGATGGGGCAATGCTCTCTCTTCTCCATATGTTGCGGAATGTGGAGTTAGGCAGGGGGGATTAACTTCTCCAAAACTTTTTAATCTGTACATAAATGCATTGATCGGTGAGCTTAGCAGCACTCTTGTGGGATGCTATATAGATGGAGTATGTCTCAATAATATTAGTTATGCCGATGACATGGTGCTGCTGGCACCATCGATCAGTGCACTTAGAAAATTAATTGGGGTTTGTGAGGATTATGCCGCCTCGCATAGATTGATGTACAACGTCAAAAAGACTGAGTATATGGTCTTTGGGGTCGCCGGTAAGAAGAGTCCTAACAATGTGCTTCCCATAAGTCTCAATGGAATTCTATTGAAGAAAGTAACTCATTTCAAATATTTAGGACACTATATTGCCGACGACCTCAAGGACAATATGGATATAGAACGCGAGCGCAGGGCACTGACGGTGAAGGCGAACATGCTGGCTCGCAGGTTTGCTCGATGTACGGTGGAGGTGAAGGTCACTATTTTCTGGGCTTACTGCACACCACTGTACGCGGGGGTTCTGTGGGCCAGCTATACCCAAGTCTCGCTCAGGGCCATGCGCTCGCAATACAATAACGACTTCAGGACGCTGATGCGGCTGCCGCGGTTTTGCAGTGCGTCTGCCATGTTTGCTGAAGCCCGTGTGGATAGTTTCATGGCAGTCTTGCGCAAAAGATCAGCATCTATGTTGAACAGAATACGTGGCAGCGGTAACAGCCTCCTGAAGACAATTGCAGTTAGGTGTGAGTGTCCCACAATGCGGCATCTCATTAATAATACAAAATCTGTTCTAGAATTTAAGTACTAACCTAATTATAAGTTTCATTGTTGCTAACACTTATGGAGCCTAGTTATCTGAATAAATGAATTTGAATTTATAACTAATTTTTTGATGATTTTGTGGGTTGGATCCTTTTTGCTTAACTACGTCCAATTATCAACCATGATATGGCGTGTCTCTGGTTCGAGTACAGCCGAATGTAATGAATTGTCCTTTGTATTCCATTTTTGTATGACAACATTCTTGTTTTAACGTACAACAACACATACATAAATATTTTGTAAATTTAAATTAAACATTCCCACAAGTGTTACGATTACGTTTGTTTTTATTTTATTCTTTAGCCTGTATCGTGTTGTAGCTAAGATAGTTCACGATGCGCAATAGTTAAAAGTGTATTATGAGTCATTTCATGGGAATATCCCACGCAAAACGATATGCTCCGTGCTTTATAGGAATAGAGTCTTTGACTTTCTTGTAGTCCAGTGAGAGAATGGTTGTTGTTCAATTGATAAGTTGACGGTTCTTATCCATATTATAGCGGCATGTAACCTTACTTAGTTCTGCATCCGAGCTTTACTGCGGTTCGGTTTTCAAGGGTAAGGTGCTGGTGAAATTACAGGCACATGGGACTTATGTCTCAGGGTGATAGGCGCAGTGGCAGTGCCCCTCAGATCTTTGCAATTTAAAGCTCTGAGTGACACTGCAACTGTTATGACCAGGCGTGTTGCTACCACTAGCCACACGACTTATTCGTCCCGTCACTTGTGTTATAAAAAAATAAATAAAAATAAACACTTAGGAATAATATCATGGATGCGACTATAATTTTCACACTTAGAGTAGCAAAATAAGGCATTTTTCTACGATTTTCGAGATAACTGCCAATTTATATACAATATTTGCGATTGATTTATTAAATTTGTTCAATATGATCACTAATGATCTTAAGTAAACAATTTGACGAAAATTTCTTATTAGCATCACAATTCTTTTTTATTTATTTAAGTTTTTATTCAGTTTAAAGAAAGTGTAAACAAGACAAACTAAACAACGTAGGCTTCTTTAGATAGACACATACACACATCAAAAAAAGTTTGCGATCACTTCGAAAAACTGAAATCTTTTTTGTTACTGTAGATTATATTATGATTTTTTCTTCTTTTTAGATTCTTTATTTAAAAATAAATTAGAACATAAAACAATGACCCCGTTCAATTGTTTTTTCATATAAAAAGGCTTTCAGTCCTAGCTTACGCTCATTCAGAAATCTGATTTAGTCAATTATAAGCGATTCAAGATATTTTTCGCGGAAAGTTGTGATTGAAAAAATGCCAAGAGAAATATCAGAGGTTTTACAAGCTAGAATAGTAACTTTGAGGGGAGAAGGATACACCACGAGAGTAATAGCACGCAGACTTGCTATATCCCAATCCTGTGTCGTGGCTACGTTGCAGAGGTATCACGGAATGGGGAATTTAGCTGACCGACCCCACAGCGGTCGCCCAACTGTTTTGACAGCTGCCCAAAAGCGCTATATTAGATTGCTGGCAGCCCGTGATCCAACAATCAACGCCACTAAAATAAAAGCAGAAGTCAGAGCCGCATCTGGGCTTGAAGTTAGCACGCAGACCGTTCGCAATTGCTTGCACCAGACTGGATTACGAGCACGGAGGTCTTGGCGAGCTCCGCTCAATTCCCGGCAACGTCAACAACGAAGATTGCAGTGGGCTAGACTTCGGCAAAATGAAGAAGGTGAGGACGAAAACATTTGGCAAAACTGTCTCTTCGTTGACGAATCCCGAATCAGCACTCATCCAGATAACCGACGTGTCCGTATCTGGAGAAGACCAGGCGACCGTGAAAGACAAAGAACTGCCACTGGAACAGTTCAGCAAGGCGGAAAATCGGTGTCCTTTTGGGGTGGCATTATGATTGGAGCTAGAACGCCTTTGATCCCGTATCGGGGCTTCATGACAGCAGACATGTACAAAGCAGTTGCTATTGATGATATCGTCAGACGATTCCGAGTAAACCATGGGCACCAATTTGTACTGGTCGATGATAATGCGCCCGCACATCGAGCTCAACGAGTCAATGCTGCTCTTCAAGAATACGATATCACACGATTAGACTGGCCTGCCGGCTCGCCCGACTTAAACCCAATAGAGCACGCGTGGGATGCTCTTAAACGAGCAGTATGGAACCGTGAGCCACGTCCCCAGACAGTTCCAGAGCTCAGGGAAGCCGCTATTGAAGAATGGGATAGGTTACCCCAGGAAATGCTGGATAACTTGATCCTCAGCATGCCCAGGAGGATCTTCGCATGTATTCGAGCCAGGGGAGGAGTTATTTTATATTGAATTCACACCTTTTAATAATAAATTGTTGTTTAAGTTTAATTAAACAGTCATTTTCTTTCTATGAAATTTATATCACTATTACATTATGATTAATGGCTCAATTTTTAAAAATAAATAATAAAAAATAGTTTTATATTTTAATTTCAAACAGGGTATTCCTATTTAAAGAAAGCATACAACATAGATTTTTTCTTGATAAAGTTAAATTTAAAGAATTATAGGAGCTTATGCTATTGATCGCAAACTTTTTTTGATGTGTGTATATGTCGATCACTATAAAAGTGGTGTAAGTCCATATTTTAAAACACAAATTTGTTTGCTTAATGGTATCACATTTAGTCATATCTTTCATTATAAAAGTGAAGCAACTCCAATAATTGCACTAACATCCCAAAGATATATACTAGTTTACTCAGAGAACTAAAATCACTTCACATTAATTTGTTAATAGCAAATCTAAAAAAAAAAATATTTTTTTTATATATCCCTTAGAGAAAAATAGACTTTCTAATTTTTTTTTAATTTCTTAACTTTCTCTTTTCTACTACGGCGTATTGAATTAAATTAATTCACTATTTTAATGATTGAGGTCCTAAAGCATCTTATCACACATGTAAAAATGCAATAATTATAATAATAAGACACACAAAATAAACAAAATTAAATTTAGTAGCCTAAAAATCGGCAATTTTGAATAAAAAAAATAAAAGTCAAATATCTCGAAAAGGGTTAAGTTTAGGGTAGGGTGTTTCATAGTAAAATAAGTCAGAAATGATGAGTACTCCACGCCCTTAACGGATCTAGCACGACTTTTCCTGTAACCCTGTATAATAAATCAGCAACAGGGTTCGTTATAAAAATTAATTAATTAAATAACTTATTTGGTGTGATTGATTTACAGTTTTGATTGATTTACAAAGCGCAGATTGCGGGACGCGGGTAACGACCCCCCCACACCTCACCTAAAATCTAGGCTTGCGTTGAAATGCCTCACCTTAAACCATAACCCGCAGCGTTAAATGAGTGTGGAAGATTTTCAACGGAAATCTATATTTACTAAAGTTGAGTTCGTTCGTAAAACCGAGGACAAATGCAAGTTTTTGTCTTTATAATTTTTGTCGCCGTCAAGGTGATATGTCACGGTCTTGTTTCATACAAAAGTTTTTGTATAAAGGAGAGAGGTTAAATTCGCACCAGGCCCGGCGCAACGAAAAATGTTGCAAAATTTTCGTCATAACTACTAACTCATTGTAATTTAGGTTTTGTTTATACTATCAGTGGCTAACATGTTTATTGTCTTTTACTTATATTTTCTTATACATGTAGTTACAAACAATAGCATTATTAAAATGGAGGCTATCAGCGCGAAACTGGTGTAACTCACATTTTTTTAAATACTGCTTTAAATGATTAAAAAATATATTTATTCAATTTTATTATACTTGAAAATAGCACCTAAATTTAAAATATATGTGTACTTTAGTATCATCAAGTTTTATTGAACGTCTGGATGGTTTACCACTATGATATTCAATTTTTTTTTTGTGAAATTACTCATTTGAAGTAATATAACTTTAGTATAATTATAATTCTTACAACAAAGTTGCAACTCCTATTATCCATAATTGCTAATCACGCAGGGCAGACGCCTTTTTCCCACCACCTGTCTCCCTCGCGGTCCTTGCAAAAAAGTAATAAGAGAACAATAAGATAATTGATATTATATTATTATTAATTCTACCTATAATTGATACCTATGATTCCCACAGCGGTCTATATCGACCCCAGCATGCTGATATAGATTCAAATTGGAATCGAACCGATCGGGTAGTCTCGAAATCAGATGGGTTTCCGAGCGAGAAGGTGAACCTGTTTCGTACTATATCTTTCTAATTTGTGAGTTAAATCAACTTTAGTGGTAGTAGAGCTTCTTGTGAAAAACATAGGGTCGTATTCTAGAACTCTACTCAATGCTCAAGTCAGGATTGCACTGGAAACACAAGCGCTGGAAATACGACCCTAATGGCAGGGACTTGAGTATGATTTCGAGTGCTTTAAACCATACCCAAATCCTGACTTGAGCATTGAGTAGAGTTCTAGATTACGACCCTTAGTCTAGGGTAGTATTGCCACCTTATCTATTTCTGCAGCCAAGTTGTAATGTCAGCATCACTGTGTTCCGGTTTTGAAGAGTAAGAGGGTACCGGCGAAATTACAGACACATGACCCTTGTCAACTTACGTCTCAGGGTTACGGGTGCAGTGGTAGTGCCCCTCAGATCTTTGCAATTTAAAACTCTGAGTGGCACTGTAATTGTTATGGACAGGCGTGTAGCTTACCATCAAGTAGGAGTGCTCGACATGTATCGACATTCAAAAAATATCGATATATAACCTCGATGTATCGAATCAATCCGATATTATCGTATCATTCAGTATCGACACGTACTATTGATATATTTTATCCGATACATGAAAAATCGTACAAAGTTGAAAGTATGCAATTCAAAATTATACAGGGTCAAGAGCACGTCAAGCTTGACACTTAAAATTTAAATCCACCTTATGCTGCTTACGATAAGAACGGTCCAAGGTACAAAGTGTCATGCTTGACGTGCTCTGGACTGTACTTGCAGAAATAAAACGCACTTTGAGTTCTGAATCAATGTAACGTAGTCGTTATATTCTCATTGGTTAGCCACACACACACAATAATATTGCTTGTGTGCGGGCTATATTGTTGTGTTGGAATTCAGTAACTGAAGAAAACATTTGACTATTGTGTCAAAACTAGTGGTTTTACTTATTTACTCTTAGTAAAATTTCCTTCCTTTTATCTTTTAGAATTATTTACGATATATCGAAAATATCGATGTTTTGTACCGATATATCGTAAAATATCGTTACAACATTTCTATATGTCACATCGGAAAAAATATCGATTTTTTTTACATGAACACCACTACCACCAGGCGCACGACTTGTTCATCCCGTCACTTGATGTTATGTAAAAAAACTGTGTTCCGATTTGAAATGTCAAAACTTTGTGATCGGCCAGTTGTGAATCGCAATTATGCGCCTCGACTCGGAAGAGACGCAGTTTCCGACCGGGAGCGGTGTAATATATCGCATTATATATATATATATTTATATTACACCTCTCCCGGTCGGAAACTGCGAAATAAAAGATCGCGTCTACCTGTAATGAACCTTTATTGTCGACTGACTGGCCAATACATGCATAACCACTAATCTGACACTACACTCCTTCACACTAAATTAGCACTTAACAATATTACAAACCCTTAACAATATTACAAACCCTTAATATCTAAAATTTATAATTAGGAACCTTATTAATTCTAGACTGTCATACCATGCGAGTTCGGGGCGGTTGTGGTGGCGTCGGCGACGTGGTAGGCGATGCAAACTGCTACTCAGGCGTAACAGGACTTTTCCGTTGCACTCTCTCAAATGTTTGGTGCTTCGAAGTCGTTCGAGTCGCCGAGTCCGGCGACCCCTCCTCCTGTTCGCTCTCAATTTTGTCTGTCCCGTATACCGTTGAACGATCTATCTGGTGCAGACTGAGGCTGAGGACTTGTGCTTTCTTTTTTTCTAATCGAGATGATGTTGAAACAATAAATAACCGAGTGCTGTTAGACCGTCTCCGTAACTGATCGACATGACGATGTATGGTTTCCCCACTACTGCTTATTACTTTAACGTTATTGGGTCCCAAACAGTCAAACTACACGGCCGGGCGCCCATTTCTCCCCTTTCAAGAATAATCTATACCATACTTCTTCTCCTTCATTGACCTGCCTTTGTTGGGCTCGTAGAACCTGCGCCTTCCTATCTGGCTTAATTAAATCTAACCGGGTGCCTAAACCGCCTACCTAACAGTAACATAGATGGACTTTCACCGGTCGTAGAGTGTTCTACATTTCTGTAGTATGTAAGAAATGACCACAGTGCCCTATCAACGTTACATTTTTCCTGTAACGCTTTTTTAATAACTCGTTTTATAGTCCTAACCGCATTTTCGGCTAGACCGTTGGATGCCGGATGGTAAGGTGCAGTGAATATATGTATGTTCGATTGCATTATTTTTAATATAACTTTCGAATTCTTTTGACGTAAATTGTGGTCCGTTATCACTAACGATTTGCCGTGGAATTCCCCATCTACTAAATAATTCACTCAGACAATCTGTAAGTCTGTTCGCCGTTGTACTGCTAACGTTAAACACTTCCATCCATTTGGACGTCGCATCCACTACTACCAAGTAGGTGCAGCCCGCGATGGGACCCAAGAAATCCAAATATAGTCTGGTCCATGGGCGGCGTGGCCAGGGCCACGTGTGCGGCGCCTGGTGCGGAGGCGCGGCCGCCTGTGTCGCGCACACCGCGCACGCTCGGCACGCGTTCTCCACGGCCTCGTCCACGCCCGGCCACCACACGTAGCTGCGCGCCAAGCCCTTTGACTTTACGATTCCCATATGTGGTTCGTGTAACATCCTCAAAACTTTTTCCCTACATTTCTCCGGGACTACGCGAGTCTGTGGCCCCACATTGTACATCCTAATTCTTCGTATAATTCGCTTTTCCGATTAACAAACGGTTATAAATTCACGATCTGGTTCTGTTCGGGCCAGCCGTCTCGGATATAACTTAAGATTCTTGATAGCGGTGGGTCTCGTGAGGTCTCCCTTTTAATTTCATGGTAGTCCAACAATAAAGCGTCCTGTACGAAATGTAAATAAGTTTGATGGTAATTTTTTTTTTTTTTATTTTTTTTATTGTGACTCGGCAAAATGACTGCACCGCGCCTGATGGAAAGTGCGAATACAGTCCAGAGATGAGAGTAACGGATGGAAAACACAAATATCTTCACTCCGTCACTATCATTTTGCCGGTCTGGCCAAATGCTTCTTCACACTACGTTTGAAGGACCCGATGTTATAGAGGGGAGGGAATACATGCGCCGGGAGTTGGTTCCACAATTTGATGGTTCGGCATAAGAACGAATTGCCAAACTTTTTAGTGCGGGACGGTATTGAACTGACCGTCCAACTGTGGCAACGCAGTCCGGCACGGGAGGTCCGCTGATGGAAAGGAGAGGAAGGGATAAGGTTGAATAACTCTTCAGAGCACTCACCGTGGTACAGGCGATAGAATACGCTAAGAGACGCTATATCTCTGACGCTATATCGCTAAATCTCTGTAACGACTCCGCATGCTCAGTTACATGAGGATCGTTGACAACACGGAAGGCGTAGCGCTGCAGTCCATCTAGGGCATCGAGCAAGTACTTGGCAGAGCCGTCCCAAAGGTGCGAACAGTACTCCATGCTGCTTCGGACCTGAGCTTTATACAACAGGTATCGCAGCTCTGGAGTAAAAAATCGGTGCACCTTGTTCAGGATGCCAAGCCTGCGCGACGCGGTACAGATGACGCTCTCTATATAGTCTTTGTTGCTCATGTCCTTCCGGATGCTCATCCCCAGCAGGCTGAGCTTGTCCTGCAGTGTCAGCGTTGTACCCTGAAGATGGGGAAGTGGAAGGAATGGGGATTTTTTGGAACTGAACGCGCATACCTGTGTTTTCTTGGCGTTGAACTCAACCAAGTTTCGGGAGCCCCACGACGATATATGTTCCAAAACATGGTTGAGCTCAGCGACAAGTTTTTCCCGGTTTCTCTCAGGGTCCTCCCGGCTGCTTGACGGTTGCTTATAATAGCAACCGTGCACTGTGCTATCATCTGCATAGCAATGAATGTTGCCAAAAGGCAACAAGTCATTGATATGCAGAAGGAACAGCGTGGGCGACAGCACGGAGCCCTGTGGCACCCCAGCATTAACTGTCACGAGCCGCGAAGTGCCTCCGTCAACAAGGACACGCAATCTTCGCTCGCGCAGAAAGCCGGAGATCCACTCACAAAGGCGGCCGGGAAGACCATATGCCGGAAGCTTGGAGAGGAGACCACGGTGCCAGACCCGATCAAAGGCCTTAGCAATATCCAGACTTATCGCTAAGGTTTCGCCCTGTTTGTCGATAGCTTCACCCCAGAGATGCATTAGATACGCTAGAACGTCACCCGTTGATCGGTTCGGCCGAAACCCGTACTGTCGATCATTAAGAATGGAGTGACGTTCCAGGTGCCGGATTATCTGGATATTTAGAATCCGCTCCATCACTTTGCAGAGCACTGAAGTGACAGCTATTGGGCGATAGTTTGTCGGATCAGACCGATCTCCTTTCTTGGGGATAGGTTGCACGTTGGCCTCCCTCCAAGCTAGGGGCACGTTACCAGATTGGTATGAGAGGCGGTATAAGCGCGTCAGTACGGGAGACAACTCCGCCGCACACCTTTTAAGGACGATAGGAGGTATCCCATCTGGACCATAGGCCTTCCGCACGTCAAGAGTCTGCAGTTCCTTGCGGACATCACATTGCCTGATAACTATATCAGGCATTGTGACTCCGCAGTGGGGAATTGACGGCGGTTGCGCATCTTGGTCGTGAATGCGCGAGTTAGCCCCAAAAAGGTCGGCCAATAAATTGGCTTTCTCTTCGGGGCCATAGGCCAAAAATCCATTGGGACACCTCAAAGGCGGCAGCGACGAACGACAAAAATTGGACTGCACGGCTTTGGCCAGGCTCCAGTAGGCACGGCTACCGGTGGGATGGGCTACCAGCTTCTGGCCAATCCGTGAAACGCGCTGGGCATCCGCTCTTATGTAAGCCCTCCTGCAAGACTTGGTTGCTTTGTTATAGGCTGCTTTAAGGGACGCAAGGTTGGGATCCTTTGTTACACGACCCTTGATCCAACCACGATATGCAGCCTGTTTCTCACTAACAGCGTCCATGCATTCGCGATTGAACCAAGGGCGTCCTCTGCGATTGGCGATGACACTGGAAGACGGTATGTAGTAATTCATAGCCGTTCCAATCTCATCGACAACAGCATCGGCAGCTGCTGAGGCATCCTTTCCCGCAAAGCAGTGCTGCAACCAAGGGATGGACGCAAAGTAGTCGCGCATACCATCCCAATCCGCCGACGAGTAGTGCCAAATGCGACGAGTGACCTCCTTCAGCTTAGTTGGAGGCATTTGGGAAACCTTACACCCAACCAAACAGTGATCAGAACTTCCCAGGGGGGCGCTGACTGATACTGTATAGTAGGTAGGTCAAGTCATGCGTGAGAGCGAAAGCGTGGGCAGTTCTTCCTGCATGGTCAGTCTTGAGGGAACTTAACCATGATTCATGGTGAGCATTAAAGTCCCCCAACACGACCATCTCCGCAGATGGGAACTGCGCCTGCGCGTCAAGAGTCGCCTGGCTCAGTTGGTCAAAGAGCCTAGTTGTCTCCGCATCCCCGCTGTGGGATCTATATAAGCACGCGAAGACTCTAGCTGAATAACTAGATTCTACGAGCACCCACATCGTGGAAAAGGAGGGGTCCTCCAGGCAGCGCAGACGGCGACAGCACACATCCGAACGAATATATACACATACCCCGGCTTTGGCTTGAAAGTTTTCCTCAAGCGAGTAGCCGGGGTAGTTCAAGTAACTCATATCATTCGGACGGCGAATCTGCGTCTCCGTCAGGAAAAGCAGGGCAGGCCGGGCTGTCTCGAGGTGATGGTGGACAGCTTTGAGGTTGGAGTGGAGTCCGCGGATGTTAGCGAACTCAATAATAAACGCGGTGGGGGGATTAGGCACCGCTGAACGATCTGCATTCTTATGTTGCGCTGTCATGGTGGGTAAGAAGGACGGTAGTGTGAAGAGATGAAGCCTTCGGCACTGCACCGAAGAAGAAAAACGAGGGGAACTGCAATACATGCCGTTGAACTTTTGAAGGATAGCCGGCTGACCCGCCGAACGGAAGGGCCCCCGTACCCCCCCGGGATATGCCACCGGGACCCCAAATTCCGGTCACTAACCGGCACGACGACCTACCCCAAGATTATGCGCGGCATGGTGGGGCAGCCTCTAGGGGTAGTTAGTCCCTATTGGGCCCCTGTACTGTACCGCGGGCGGCCAGCGGACAACCGTTTCTACGGGTCTCCCTGGCCGGCAGGTCAACTAGATATCCCTCAACAAGTGACATGGCGAATATCCGCCTCAGTCCTCCCAGATACCGCGCCGAAAACTCCACGTGCACTGGATGTACACCAACTGATCCCTGAACGCGATTCGCAAAAGCGTTTCACTGTGGAGGGTTTTCCGCCGTGTGTACTGTGGTCGCTATCCAGTCGGCACAAAGCCTACCACAACGCTAAGCAGATGGACACTTGTGACGCCCTCGGTCGCCTCTTACGACCCCCACGGGCATGTATGGGGAGGCGACAATGTATTCTTAAGCCGTCGCCCCACGGCACTAAATATAATAATCGGCAACCGCGAGAACTCGTCCGCCCCGTTCCGATCAGTATGCACGTAATCGATATCTTAGGAATATGTTGATAATATTACCGCCCACTGCTGCATCCTGCTCGCTATCATTGTTGGTATGCCAGTAATGGGTCCGAATATTGACACCAACGGCTTATGATCGGTCCTGAGTGTAAACAGGCGGCCATACAAATACTGATGAAATTTATTTACACTGAATATAATCGCTAGCGCCTCACGATGTATTTGTGAGTAATTTTTCTCTCAGTCTGTCAGTGAGCGTGCGCGTGGTGTAGGCGACTGACCGCTCGCTGCGTCCGTCCGCGCCCAGCTGACTGAGTACTCCGCCGACGCCATACGGGCTCGCGTCACACGTGACAATCAGAGGCTTTCTAGGTTCATAGTATGCTAGTGTTTCCGCACTCGAAAGCAGCTCCTTGATTTCAATGAACGCCAATGCATACTCCGTAGACCATGACCATTCCCTACCTTTTTGCAATAACTCGTATAACGGGACCAATTTAGCGCTCATATTCGTTACGAACTTTCCATAAAAATTGACTATACCTAGAAACGACCTACACTGTTTTACATCCATTGATCTAGGCATATTCACGATCGCCTCGATTTTTGACGGGTCTGTTTTTATACCATCCTTTCCTATAACGTAACCTAGATATCGAACTTCATCCACTAAAAATACGCACTTACTACCCTTTACTTTTAACCCGTTGCTGTGCAATTTACTGAAAACTGCCTCCAATGCCGCTAAGTGTTCGCAAATTATGACGTCATCCAGAAATATTTCTACGTTCGGAATGTCTTTCAGTAGATTGCACATTATTCTTTGAAATATCCCAGGGCTCGAGGATAACCCATATACCGACCGTTTATAGCGGTATAAACCGCGGTGCGTATTTATTACCGTAAACTTTTTCGTCTCGTCTAATTCAATTTGATTATATGCTTGTGATAAGTCGATTTTTGAATAATACCGCGCCCCTTTAAGGTTCACCATGGAAACGGAATTTCGAGAATTCCCTTTCTCATCTGCAATCTTGCCGCACCCCATGTGTTCACCGTATTTGGCTCCATCTAAGTTTTTGATTTGATTTACCGATCTGTATCAAATGAGGAAGTGATAAATGAAACAGAGTCCTAAGTATTTTTCAGTTTGACAAAAATAAATCCGGATAGAAGTTGAAATATCACACCGTAATTTAAAAAAACAATGTTTTTATTTCTTCTCAAAGTCGCGGACTTACCAAACCACGCTCGTATATCAATTATTACTATTCAATAATAATTATTGATACTAAATCTTTTATCCTTCTAACAACCAATAACCTATGTATTTCGTTGATTCCTTTTCAGAATCGACGACATTCAAGACAACTCGATACTACGGCGCGGGATCCCGGTAGCGCACTCAATTTACGGCGTGGCAAGCACCATCAACGCGGCCAACTACGTTATGGTCATCGCGCTTGAAAAGACACTTGAACTTGGTCATCCTTTGGTAAAACTCGTTGTTAAATATTTCAATACAAACCCGCCACGGGGAAAACAATAGTCGACCGCTCTCGTCCATTTCTGGTTCTAGACTTACATTTTATTTTACTTATTTTAGGAAGGTTTACAGCTATAAGTTAAAAATGGCATATAAAAGTAAACAATTAAAAAAAGCCTATTGCAAACCTCCACATTTGGATATAAAAATTACAAATCAATCAAGTAATGCTGATCTTACTTACATTTTTATAGTTTAAAGCAGTCAGAAAAATAAATATCTTATATATTTTGATTGCTTATATTATATGTATTTTATACGACTATTGCGATTTCTTATAGTCAAAAGTATTTATTGCTTTCATATGTAACATAGTGCTCTTAAAATTGTCTCAACGTGACCCTGTTAGGGCGCCACAATTAAAAATATGTATTTATAAAAAAATTTCGAAACCTATTTTAATGAAAAGCTACTAAATTAAAAATAATAATAGCAAAACAAAAATTATAAATAACATAAAATGGCTTTTGCAGTGGGTAAGTCGATATAGGCACTCTTCAAAATGTACTGCTTCAGGATAAGGTAGTTCATTCGTTTAATGCTAACAATTTGTTGATTAATGCCAAGAAGACAAAATGTGTTAAATTTGAATTACGTAACGTAAAATCGACTAGTCCAAGCATAGAAATAAACGGAGAAAAGTTAGACCTTGTTAATAAAGCAGTCTCCTTGGGAGTGACCTTAGATAGTAAACTTCAATGGTTTCCACATATATCTTCCCTGGCCAGCAGATTACGCTCCGCTGCATACGCAGTCCGCAGAATACGTGAGCTTACGGATTTTAGTACTGCTAGACTAGTTTACTTTAGTTACTTCTGTGGGGGCGGATTATGAGAAAAAAAACGCCTGGTTGTAAATTGAGCTTCTTGGTCTTGGTTTTGCTTGGATCGCGGTGAGATTTGGAACGCCTTCGGAGTCTTGTGCAGTCAATTTTGGAATGTCGTTCCGCTCCCTACGCTCCGCTTTTTATATCATCGCTGGCCCGCCGTGCCGCTCGCATTCTATTCAAGTGTGCGAGCGGGACGGCACCAATGCAGGAGCGGGACGGGAGAACCCTACAGACTCCAAGCAAAACCCCTCTCTCCCTCTCGTTTATTTACCAAACCTTAAACTAAATTAACAACACCAAATTATAATAATAAATCACAATAATAAATTTACAATATTAAAAATTCACATGGGCGCGAACACGTTTTCGTCCTGAACATATTCTCCCGCCGCAGCTTGTAGCTGGAAAGTCCTAGGGTTCGCGCTTCGTTGTCTCGTTGCCTCCCGTTTCAATGATTACCAGCTTCTTTGTAGGACAGCGCAGAACTCCTCTGTTTGTCCGCACGTCGACCGCCCTTATTTCTCCGTCGGGGCCTGGGTATGTAGCCACAATGATGCCGCGGGGCCAGGTGTTGCGTGGTAGCGTCCCGTCGGCTATGAACACCAAGTCTCCCAGTTGTAGCGCGCCGTTGGTGGCTCTCGGAGTTCGTCTGTGCTGGAGATCAGGGAGGTATTCTCTTATCCAGCGTGACCAGAACATGTCGGCCAGTCGTTGGCTGGTCCGCCAGATCTTGCGCCCGTCGATGTCAGTGTCCGTGAAGGCTCCAGGCAGTGGTACTCGTGAGGGACCCCCCAGTAGGAAGTGGTTCGGAGTCAGGGGGTTCTCGTCTTCTGGAGCAGTGGATACATGGGTGAGAGGGCGGCTGTTGAGGGTGTGCTCTGCCTCGACCAATAGAGTGTGCAGGACCTCTTCTTTCGGGGCGCGTTCGTGCAGTACGGTGTACAGAGCTGTTTTGATGCTTCGTACCAGACGCTCCCATGCTCCTCCCATGAACGGTGCGCTCGGCGGTATGTATCTCCACTTGATGAACCGGATACTGGCGTCTTCCTGTATAGCTTCTAGTGCTGCCCTCTGTAGCTCGGCGTCCGCGCCGCGGAGATTGGTTCCCTGGTCAGACCACAGCTCCGTCGGGCATCCGCGTCGCGATATGAAGCGACGGAGTGCCATGATGGCGGAGTCGGTGCTCAGATCTCCGGCGACCTCGACGTGGACCGCTCTCGTGGTTAGGCAGGTGAAGATCGCTCCGTATCTTTTTTGTCGTGTGCGGCCTACTGTGACTTGGAGTGGGCCGAAGAAATCCAGCCCGGTGTATGTGAACGAGCGTTGATGGTGAGCGAGGCGGCTGGGCGGATGGTTTCCAGTCGAGGGTTGTGGAGGCGTGGCTCTCATGATGCGGCACACTCGGCAACGTTTCAGTTCGCTTCGCACAGCGTTGCGTAGTCGTAGGAGCCAGTAGTGCTGTCGTACCTCGCTGGTGGTGATGCCGAAGCCTCCGTGGTGCGTCTGTTTGTGTATCCAGGCGATATACAGTCGCACCCATGGGTGGTCTCCATCAAGCACGGCTGGTGACCGTTGTTGCTCAGTGATATCACCCGCCGCCGCTATTCGCGATCGTAGTCGTATTATGCCTTCGCCGTCGAGTAGCGTTGATAATTTCATAAGGCGGCTAGAGGGGGGAAAAGGGGTCCCCCTCTTGAGGGCGTTGATTTCCTCGGTGAACGCCTCTTCCTGTTGTGCTCGTATCCACAGCGACTCGGCGTGGCGTAGATATGATGCGTCGATCGTTTTAAATTTGTGTAAAACTTGCTTTCCACGCACAGCCTCGGAAGTATTCGTCTTCTTGCTTTCTGTATCATTTTTTCGCCAAGTAGGGTCGGCGTCGGCATTTTTCCTCGTTCTCTTCCTTAAAGCGGCGCATCGTTGTGTGCGCGTCCGCAGCCTGTCTATGAACTGTAGTACGCGCGCTGTGGTCCGCATGAGGCGTATCCAACTTGAGAAACGAGTTACTTCGGGTAGAGCTTCCTTCAGTCGCGCGCCGACGCCTGTGGTGAGGTGGACCCGTTCTTCATCCGTGACGTTGACGTCCGTGACTTCCTCTTGAGGCCAATTTTCTTCCGACATATATAGAAAGTCCGGCCCCCTGTACCATCGATGATTAGAGTCGAAGTCGTGTGGCACGTCGCGGGTGGCGTCGTCTGCGACGTTCATTTTGGTGGGTATCCATCTCCATTCTTTCGTTTTAGTGTGTTCAGCGATCTCCGCCACTCTATGCGCTACGAACGGTTTATAAACTCGCGGTCCGTTGCGTATCCAGGTCAGCACAGTGCGGGAATCTGTCCAGTAGTAGCGGCTTGTCGGTTTAAATTGATGCTCGTCGACGACGGTCTGTGTAAGACGGCAACCCAGCACGGCAGCTTGCAGCTCTAGTCGTGGTATGGAGATCACCTTCAACGGAGCTACTTTCCCCTTGCCGATGATGAGTGAGACGTGTATGTTGCCATCTTCGTCTTCTACACGCCAATAGGTGACGGCCGCGTATGCCGTTGAACTTGCGTCCACGAATGTGTGTAACTGGATGCCGCGCGCGTGACTAAGTTTCATATAGCAGCGCGGTACTTTTATCTTGGCGAGTCGTCGTACATCTTCCAGGCGTCCGCTTCGGGCGCTTCTAACGGGGTGTCCCAATCGATGCCTGAGCGCCACGTGTCTTGTATGATGCGCTTCGCTTGTATGGTGACTGGAGTGGCGATGCCCAATGGATCAAATATGGACATCGTAGTGCGTAGCGCCTCCCTTTTAGTTGGTGTTCTTGCCCCGTTGTATACTTCCGCCGGTGTTTTGTGAGTGTTGATGTTGAAAGACAGGGTGTCTTCCTCTGGTTGCCACACCATGCCCAGTACTTTCGTGCTGTCCAGTTGTAGTATGTCGCCTTTCGACCCCGGTGATAGCGTGCTTAGTACTCGGCGCGAGTTTGATGCCCAACGTTGCAGGAAGTAGTTCGCGCGGCTGTGTATGTACGCAACTTGTGTGGATATGCGTACGGCCGCTCCTTCGTCGTCAAAACTCGCTAGGTAGTCGTCGACGTAATGGTTGTCGATGATTGCCGCTGTCGCCTCGGGGTACTGAGCACGAAAGTGTTCCGCGTTCTTGTCCTTTACGTAGATAGCAGTACAGGGAGATGATGTGGCGCCGAATATGACACTCTTCATACGGTACTCGGTCGGTTGGCGATCTCGGTCGTCTCCTCTCCACAGGAAGCGTTGCATGTCTCTATCTTCCTCTCGTATGGTCACACGAAGAAACATGTCTCTGATGTCGGCTGCTACCGCTACTGGTCGCTGACGGAACTTCATCAACACGCCGGGCAGGGATTGTATTAAGTCCGGGCCTGGTAGTAGCATGTCGTTCAGGCTGACTCCTTTGGCTTTGGCAGCGGCGTCGTGGACCAATCTGAGCTTCTCTGGCTTCTGTGGATTGATGACGGCGAAATGGGGTAAATACCAAGTCTTCGGGTTCTTATGGGGTGGCGCTATTTCTGCGTAGTCGTTGTCGAACAGTGTTTGTAACTGTTTTTCGTATCTCTTTTTCAGTACCTCGTCGCGGTCGAGTTTCTTTTCAACTAGTTCCAATCTTCTTAACGCCACGTCGTAGCTGTCAGGTGGATGAACGTGCTCGTTACGCCATAGAAGACCGGTTTCAAAGCCTCCCGCCGGTAAACGGCGGGTTTTATCTTCTAGTTGTTGCAGTGCTCGTCGCTCGTCGTCGTTGTGGCTGCGTCTCGGTGTGACAGCCAATGACTCGAGGCTGAAGTGTTCCCTCATCATCTGCTCCATGGACTCTTCATCATCAGGGGCGACAGCGTGGAGTACTTTGTGGGTGTTGACTCTTTCACTCGATCTCTTAGTGCCGTGTAGAACCCAACCTAAATCGGTGAGTGTTGCGATCGGTTGGTGTCGGTCCCCTTGTCGCACGGCATGTGTGAGTAAAAGATGCCAGTTGTCTTGACCCAGCAGTATCGTAGGTGATCCCTCTTCGTAGATGAGATGCTCTTCTAAGTCGTGCAGGTGGGGGCAAGCTCGTATGACGTTACGTGGCACTGCTTGCGGCGATAGCTTCAAGTTGTTCATGGTGCGGGCTGTTATTGTATGCTCATTCGTGTCGCGCCCGCGCAGAGAAATGCGTACTTGTTGCGATTCGCCAACGTTGATTCGCGTGCCGGCTACACCCTCAATGTAAAAGGGTGCTGGTGTACCCGCTGCGCCGATCCTTCTTGCTAGCGCCGCCTCAATCAGGCTGCACGTTGACCCGTCGTCCAGTAGTGCGAGTGCGTTGCACGTACCCTTGGGGCCCCTCACTTGCACAGGGAGTACCTTCAGTAGCGCGGTGGTGTTGCTTCTGTCTTTTGCTGATGCCACAACAAATGATGCAGGAGCTTCTTTCTTCTCCTTTGATGAGGGTGGAGTGCCATGCAGCAGTGAATGATGCATGTACTCGCAACCGTCGATGCCGCACCTCTTGTTTTTACACGTATGGCGAAATTTGCGTGTCCGTAAACAGCGGAAACATAGCCTATGTTTGCGTGCTATGTCCCACCTGGCGGCTACATCTGCTGTCTTCATTTCGTCGCATTGCGCCGCATGATGACCCGTCTTGTCGCAAATAGGACACGTAGTAACTTGTTCGTGCGCGGCTGGCTTCGCTATTTGAGTGTGGCAGCTCTTCATGGGTCTCCTGCCTGCTGGCTCCCGCCGGTCTTCCACAGGTGTGTTCTCGACGGGCGCGTAGCTCCCACAACGTGCAGCTGTGCGTTGCATGAACTCGGTCAGGGTTACTAGGTCAGGTTGGTATTCTGGCTGTTCCGCAGCAAAGTCATAGTATCGATAGCGCAATGCTGAAGGCAGCTTCTCAACCACGGCGCGTACTATCTCGGCATTGTGTAGATAATGCGGTCTGTTTAGCGCCTTCAATGTGGCCGTGACGTTGATGATCTTCGATGCGAAGTTGCAGATGTCTCTCGGATGTTCGCCCAGACGTGGAAGGGTGCGTAGCTTACTCAGTTCGGCCAGTGCGAGCGCGTCCGAACGACCGAACCTTGATGTCAGTAAGCTCATTACTTCGTTGGAGGACGTGGCTCCGACGAATAAACATTGAGCTGCTTCCCTAGCGGTGCCTTTCAAGCTCCTCCGGAGCCTCGCCAGGTTCTCTTGTTCTGTAAGCAGTCCTGCAGATTCCTCATAGGCTGTCTTGAACGGCAGCCAGTCGCTTGACGAACCGTTGAATATGGGTAATTCTTGAAGTCTTGCAGTAGTGGGTTGAATCGCTCGTGCCGCAGTAGTGATCGCCGTTGCTAACTTTTCGTAACATATGTCGCTCGGCGGCTTATGTTCCAGGTGGCCGTCGTTGTTACGATAGTATTGCGGCTGTTGTCTCTCACTTGTGTGCGTGACGTATGTAGAGGGGGGCGCTCCCCCCGCGTAGTTGGTGGGGGGGCACCTGGTCCCAGCTGTTGCAGGTGCCGCGTACGTGGAGATTTTTTCCTGTCGAATGACGTCGCGCGTCGGCGGCGGCGCCTGTGATTCGGCAGGTCTTCCCTTCAATATATCTTCCTTCGTACGTGTGGCGGCAGTGTAGTCTTCCTGCTCTTCTCTTCTCAACCCAATAGTGCTTGTGCGAATCCACTCCGATGTGCGTTCCTCGCGGATCGTGGCTTCCTCTGGATCGTCTTCGTCCGATTCCTCTTCCATTGCCGCGATCTTTGCAGATAATAAATCGATTTTCAGCTTCAATAATTCTTGTTGCGCTTCCGCTAGCTTCTTACGACGACTGTTCGAAGAACCGGATCGAAAAGATCGAACAGATTTAGGAGAGCATATTCTCCGTGGTGCTTCGCTTGTAGCGGCGCCGGCTTCGGGTCTCTCTACTAGTTGGGAGACTGGCGAGGTGGCAGTCGGCGCAGCGTCGATTTGTCTGATCGTCGCGTCGGTTTCCACAGTTGCACCGGTTGTACGTGTGGCGTACGTGGAGCGCGTGTGTTCTGAAGTTGTAGCGGTCTTTTCGGTCCCCGTGATCGTGTCGGTGCCCGTCGAACAGGTTGGAGCAGTGGACGAGGATTCTTGGGTATTCACGGGGTATGATTTTGCGCTTCTGGTAACTGGCATTGTTCTTTCTTGATGTAATCCGGCTGCTGAAGGACCAGAAAATGTGGGGGCGGATTATGAGAAAAAAAACGCCTGGTTGTAAATTGAGCTTCTTGGTCTTGGTTTTGCTTGGA